AGCTAGCGGAGGATTAGTCTTCAACAGTTTTTGTCAGCAGTCGAGGACTTAACGTAAGTCAAGCGAGTGACAACTTATTAATCTTTCACTGATGCACTAACCCGTTGTACTAATTTTTAAATTACATTTGTTTGGGAGACCAAGAAAAACGTTGCCCCACATTAGGATTTTCTCCTGCATCGTGGGTGTGGTTACAAACATACAATTTCACATTTCACAGACCCGGAACAACAATTTGTGGATCACACAAAGAGTTGTTCCGTGCGGGAATCGAACCCCCGACACGTTGCACGGCAGCCAGTTGCCCAGCCACCGCACCAACCGTGCAGTCTACCTACATATCGTTACTTTCTATATTCGTGATCCTATCATAATTTTGAAGCAAACTGCTGTAGCATTAATTAAATCCCAAGATTACCCGTTGATATACATACATAGAGGTGAGAAAGTATAGTGGAAATTAATATCATTGGTTGGACCTTCTTACCACGCTACATGACACAACTCATAAAATAATGTAAATCGTTCATCAAAACCATATCGCGAAACTTGTTTAGGGTCAAAACATCGGGGCTGTAAAAACTAAAGGGTTCAAGCAAGCTCGGGGCCCATTTACGAGTTCGGGACACAATTTAAATTGTATATTAGGTTCCGTATACGCTTATTTCTTTGGAACGATGGACCAAAGCGGTCCGCGGGAAATAAAAACTTTATGCAGGGATCAGATTGCATTTGAAAGACTCTTTCTTATGGTGCGAAAAACGGAACAGTATAAATAAACATGGTATTTTTTATTTCGATCAATGGTGGAAAGTTTTTCGCAGTTTGACCTTTCGCGGTTTTGTTATGGGAAAACGAAGTTCGCGTAGTTTTCGGATCGAAGTTTCCAGAATGCCAATTCTTTCGCCAATTCGTTTTCCGGGCTTTCGAAGAATTCGATCAAAGTTTCCGGCCAGTTTTTACGTTAATCGTTAACAATGAATATAAAGTGAAGAAGTATTTAAAACAAATAATTATTTACTAAATGGATAAATACTTATTTCTAGTAAATTGCACATGTAATGCATAAATTATTTGGAGTAAAACCACATAGACATATTCTATCCCTGTGTTAATTTAGCTTGTCAACCGCCATGTCTAATTCTTGAAAACTTTTTCATCAACACCAAGTAAATTATAAAGAGTAATTTAAGATGCCGGATATGACGTCATAGAGCCTCCGCCGGAAGAACTCCGGGAGGGCCAAAACGCCGATGGTCCTTAGCATAGCGGGGTTACTAATGCCCTTCAAGACCATTATAGAACCTTTTGGTGGGAGTTAATAGCCCTCAGAAAGAGGACAAACGGGTGAGTGGCAAAAACTTTCCTAAGAGTATAAAATATGTATGGAATTCATACATAAACATGCTGCATGAGTGGAAGGACACCGTCGGTCCTTTGATGGGGGATTAAAAAATGGTAGTTTAGGGAAACCTCAACGCCTCGCTTCCATAAATCACAAAGTTATCGTTAAGATTTTACCGACAAAAAAAATATTTATAACATATATTTACGCGGATATTAACGCGGAAAATTATTAATTGAATAATATTGGTAACTGCGCACACGATACATTTTATTTTAAAATGTTATTCTAAGAAGATGAAAGATCACATGAATAGCTTCATCAGATCTTGTCACACATTGAAGACAGCTAATTTCGCTGCACTGTCATTTTCTTGCATATTATAGTGTCTAGCGACTTAGACGATGATTAGATGGCGCTGCAGAGCTCAATGAAAGCTTTGATTGGTATGTAGGAGGTAAATTGTGTTGTTGATCCAGGAATTACGTAACATAATATTACATAGAAATAAATATTAATATATTAAAACTACAAAATATGTCTTGTATTAGCGGACCGCCCTTGCTTCGCAAGATTATTTAACAATTTCCAAACTATTTTTAACAAAAAAAAACATTGTCAAAACGTCTCCTCACAATATCCAACATAACATAAAAAATAATTAGCAAAATTGGTCCAGGCGTTGTTGAGTTATGCGCTCACCAACAAATTAATTAAAAGATTTAGAATTTGTAAAATGTGCACAATAAGGCCTGGGAGAAAAAAATACACTAAGTTGTGACGTCACAATTTATATATCATCGAAAGTAATATACTCAGTTCCATAAGAAAAGAAAAAATACGTGTCTGATATTTCAAATTAATCTACCAAACCGACAATAAAAGATAAGTAGTCATTAGGCCAAGTTTTGCGCCAGCTCGACCGAAGCGATACCAAGGCCTCACAGAACATTGGCGTGAAACAATACTTACGTTATGCTTCGAGGTGTGAGTGAGGTTCATGAAGGACCTCCCCCCAAATTATCAATCCCCAAATGCACTAACCGTCAATGCCTAAAAACCCATAAAATGTAGTCAACTCACTTGTAGTAACTCCTATGGAGTTACGCGTGTCCATGTGTGAACTGATTGCTTACCATCAGGTAATCTGTATGTTCATTTGCCAACTACTCCCAAAAAAGGTTTTATTAATGCCCGGTTTCCGAAAGCGCGATCAATGTTAAAATCAACTAACTATAGTCAGAATTTTAATTCGATTCCTGATTTGACATGACCTACTGTCATTTTGTGAAATAATGATACCACATATAACAGTGTAGTGATGAACACAAAAATTGATAAACAACCAGTGAATCAGTTTCAGGAAGGCATTCAAAAAATTACGGCTACCGAATGGTCTAAATGCGTATCACATGTTGTCAAAGAAGAGGAAAAAATTAGAAAGCTAGATATGTCAATTGAGAATAAAAATCACAGACACAATTCATAATAAATGTTACAGAAAGTAACAGCGATAGGGATAGCGATGACGGCGACAATTTATAAAATTTCTGTTTTATTTGTCATGTTCATTCATGATCACATTTTTTATTAATTTCACACACAATTACAAAAGACGTCTCAGATCGTTAATTATTGTCAAAACTTAATTATCGGCTCAGAAATGTTTTATTTCCTGATAAACTTAGTTTCCGAGAGTAAATTTATAAACGAGAGGAATCGATTCAGAAATATTCGATTTCCACATCGAATAATTTCGCAACGTCACTATTTATTACGTATCATAACGTTGCAACACTGGAATTGTCAAATCTGAAATGGAATTAAAATTCCGAGTATAGGTGTCAAATCTCTTGTCAAGTCATCTGATTGGTTGTTGCTAATTCAGTCAACCAACCAGATGACTTGACAAGAGATTAAATTGATTTTAACATTGATCGGCCTTTTTTTATGTAATAGGTCGGCAAAAGAGCAGACGGATTACCTGATGGTAAGCAATCAGCGCCGCCCATGGACACTCGCAACGGAGGAGTTACGAGTGCGTTGCCGACCTTTTAGGGATTAGGGATTTGGAGATAGATTGGAGGAGGGATTGGGGAAGGGGAAGGATTGGACCTCCGGTAGCCTCACACACACGGCGAAACACAACGCAGTGGTTATTTCACGCCGGTTTTCTGTGAGGCCGTGGTATCACTCCGGTCGAGCCGACCCATTCGTGCCGAAGCATGGCTCTCCCACACTTTGGCCTTTCCGAAACTGGGTGTAAGTTTCGTTTAGCATTTTTCCCGAGACATAAAGTTTTAGTTTACAGTATTGTCAAATGGACGAAGCATACAGATGAAGCAAGCAATAGAGATAGTGAATACATCGACACCGTCCCACGGCATCTTCAATTTCAACGTGAAACTAATATTTGCATGACATACAGACAGCTGTTCTGTTCGTATTTATTTGTGTAAGCGACAGGGACATGCTTGTTGTACAGGATAAGTAGGGGAGTATTTGATATGTAGGTCTTTTTTCATTTTCATTTAGTTAAAAAAAAGTTGCTCCATTATATGCTATGTGTGTCGTGGGTGCTTTTACAAAACAAGCTATAATAGCTTCTACCCGTGTGATATGTTGATAAAAAGCCTATGTGGTAATGCAGAATTACATAAATCTAAATACCAAATTTTAATCAAATCGATCCAGCCGTTTTCACTTAAAGGAGTGACATAAATCTATACATTCTCGCAAACTTTCACATTTATAATAGTAGTAGGATTACACACATTATATTTAAATATTTTTAAAAAGCCGACATCTTTTTTTTTACTATTTCGAGTGGCCAATTCACGATTATTTCCGACCAGTATCCCTAACACATTTCATATATTATCCGCATAATGCACACATTAATCTATGCTATACAATTCGGTGTTAGCGAAAAAATGAGCGATATTACTACATATAATTTTCTTTCATGGCTAAATATACAGCGTGTGTGGAAAAATACTACGATGCATAATATGTGTGTTTATATACACAAATACATAAATAAATGCAAGGTCTGTTAATGTACTTCCCTAAGCTAAAATTACATGATAGGTGAGGCGACAATCACTTAGTTGTTAAACTCTGTGAATGATAATCGCCATGTATAATATTACTGGAGATTGTGTCTGTTTGTGTATTGTGGGAAGCAGGCGGTAAAACGGTGAATAGATGTTGGTATCGACCTTCATTGATTTTAAGTGTGGGAGAGCCATGCTTCGTCGTGAACGGCGTCGTCCAACTCGATCGAATTGATACCACGGCCTTACAGAATACGCTTTAGTTAAATTACGATTGTGAAAGAAATTACCAGAACCTCCATTCTTCTTCCTTCACTCTATACCCAGTATTTCAATACTCGAATCCCTAACAACCCCCAAAAGCCGATTATAACTCCTTTGGTTTCGGAGAAATCCATGGGTGTCGCCTTTTGCTTGTGTACCCATCTGCCCGTTTGCAGTGAGTGTCCCACAAAAAGATTTATGTAATTAAGTATGCAACAAAATCTTAACTACCATTATTAACAACGTACAACAACTAGTGCCAAAAGATTTAAATCAAAAACCTTCTTCTAACAGACGAACCCAAGTTTGAAAACTAGTCAAATTATAATGTCGCTCAGTAAACATCGCTACTCAAACACAAAACAACAATCATTATGTCATCATAATTTACTAAAAAAATATATGTGAGCATTTGTATATAAGCGGTGAGACCGGGTCATGTCTCAATTCGAAACACACCCTTTGAAGTAAATAGATCACGGAGTTGAAAACCAAAATGTTCAAGAAATTATTCGTCATTGTTTTGGTCGCCATGCTGGCTAAAAATGTGAGTAATTTTTTTTAAATTATTATTTATGCATCATCATCAGCACTATCCTCTTCTCTTACGGACTAGCATAATCACAAAGCTTACCCAAGGCGGATTGAGGATCCAGGGTTACGGGTCCTTCAGTCAGGGTTGCGGGTTAAGCGCGATGAGTCACCGCGGCCTCGGCCCAGAGCAGGAGAAGAAACGGGGTTTTAGTCAGTAAGAATCTGACACTCTCTCTCGCCTTACCCTGGGCGGGAGAAGCCATTTGATGATTTTCCCCTGACAAAAAAAAATTACGTATCATAATAATAATGTACCTTGGCCCTAGCCTGAAGCACGAGAAGGGGAGATGTTGCTTAGTCAATTAGAGTCTGACAATCCCTCTTGTCGCACCTAAGACGACAGAAGTCATTTGATGACCGCTTTCCTAAAAAAATGTGTATTAAAGATTTCAAACATGAAATGAGTAATCACACATCATCAACGTCTTGGGGAACCTGACTTATTATTTTCTAGTTTGAAATCACCTATTGGCAAACCTTCTGAGTGTAAGAAGAGGTTTTTGCCCAGTAGTAGGCACATATAAGCTGACGATGTGGATCTGTTTTTATAACTATCTCCACATTCCAGTCTGTAACTTAAGTAGAAGATATTTCAGTGATACAAAGTCTAAACATACAGGATGTATGATATGGTTCCCTCTTAACTGTATCAAAGCTTTGTATATTGGAAATGAAATGAAAACTTGATGACGTTCCGTGATATTCCTTTGTTCTAACAATGTATCACGCTCTTGAGAGCTTATATTGTGATCTCATATATGATACTACTTTCATCTGAAATAGGACACAATGTTCTTCAAAATTATAAAAGTTGACACGATCTAGAATTAAAGTAAAAGTTCCTCAAAGTCGAATCCTTCTTCCCCGCCCCCAATCTCTAAATCTGCTTATAACCCTAATCACCAAAAAGCCGGCATCGCACTCGTAACTCTTCGAGTTTTGCGGACGCCGATTGCTTACCACCAGGTAATCCGTTAGCTCATTTGCCGAACCATTCATCTAATACTAATATTATAAAGAGGTAAAATTCGTAAGTTTGTATGTAGAGGGTAATCTTTGGAATCACTGGCCGGATTGCGAAAATTCTTTCACTGATAGATAGCTACTAGGTTCCTGACTGCTAGGCTATAAAACCTCACGCTACGATTAAATGGAGCTGCGGGTGAACCCGCGCGAGAGTAGCTAGTATCACATAAAAAACATTGTAACCAACTAACTTTGGCATTAAATATACCTAAAACGGTCTGCAGTGTAGGCATCATACACTACATTCAAATGTCAAGAATGCATTTTTTATTCGGATTAACAAATTGTTTTATTTATTTTTTTATTAACAGGGCATGCAAGAATCTGCAGGAACGGGAGGTGGCGCTGGTGCAGGTAAATTAAAATTTTTTTTTTCAGATTTAACATTTAACAACTTCTGCTGTATTTTTATGTAGTCACTAAATGTTGGAGAAGATGTTACAGTTCTCTCCTCTTTAGAAAAGTTGTTCTATTTTGTGGGATAAGGCGGCAAACAAGTAGACGGACCATAAATGTCACAAGCAAAGCAATCGGCACAAGTAGGCCGATCATCAACCTGAAGGTAAGCAATCGGCACCGGCCATTGGTAGCTGCGACACCAAAGGATTTACAGATGCGTTGCCCACCTTTTAGGAGTTAGATAACTTATGGTTGGGGAATCAGACAGGGACGATTGGGCCTCCGGTACTTCACTCAAAATGCGAAACATAACACAAGCGTTTTTCCACGACGCTTTTCTGTGAGGCCGTGGTATTGCTCCTGGTCACCCGGCCTATTACGGTGAAGCATGGCTAACCCACCCTAATATTTAAAATCTCGAATAACGCCAGAGCTAGCCAATATATACTTTTGTCTAAATCAAAGAAAAAATTATCTGAAAATGTTATTTTCTTTCACAGGTTTTGGTGTAGGCGCCAGTGCCAATATGGGAGCTAATGCTGGAGGTTCGTTTTTCCTATTAATAATTCACATAACTAGTTTTGTACTTTTTTAAACGTTGACTTACACTTAGATTTTTTTTCCTGTATAAGTGCTTTTACAAACATACAAATACACCGGACCGGAATCGGACCTGTAATACGCAGCACAGCAGACAGATTGCACAGCTACTGCGCCAACCGTGCAGTCACTTAAAATAAAAATGTTATGAAAAGAAGATTGTAAAGAAGAGAATAGACTAAAAAATATGTATATAAGTATCTGCGGAAAAAACTATATTGATACATGCTTTATTTCGAATCAGCACCTTATGCATGTTCAGCTGGGATTGCGAGGTAAGCGCAATTAGGCACCGCGGCCTCGGCCAAGAGCAGGAGAAGGAACGGGGGGGGGGGGGGGGGTTAGTCAGTAAGAGTCTGACACGCCCGACCCTGGGATTTATTGCTTATGGAGTTTCTTGATCGTTCTTCTCCATTCGAAACTACAATTTGGAACGAGCTCCTAGCTTCACTGACGAACAGATTGCCAGAGTACTATTCTAATTTGACGTTTCAAAAGTCCCCATTTATGGTTTAGTTGGAAATAATGATTATGATATGGTTTGGTTTGACGGCCATTAAACGATTTTCCGCTCACAAAAAAAACCCTTATGCATGTAATCTATAATTTTTGGCAACTACCAAAATTCATAAATGTATGTATTAATGTCACTTGATTCTAATCAGCAGGGTCTGCGGGCAATGGAAGTGGTGGTGCTAGCGGAGGTGCAGGGTTCAATGCTGGTTTCGGAGCCAACGCAGGTGCAGGGGCACAGGGACAGGGCAGTGGAAAGTGATTCATTACTGCAAATTATTATTACAATATCACTTATACGTGAGGCTAAGGATTTAATAAACGCACTATTTTTTGTTTGTTAAAGTTATATTTATTTAATTCCATAGTTTAGCCAGATGATTTATAACCTTCCAATCGTGTGAATTCGAGACACAATACAAGTACAATGGGTGCGCTGACGCAGGCATTCGCTTGGAGTTTGATGAATTAAGTGTGGGAGGTTGATAGTTAACATGGCCGCACATAAAACTGTATTAAAATTTTGTAACCACAATTGCCTTATGTTTCGCGGTGTGAATAAAGTTATTGCTAATTCTCAGGTGCTGCGGACAGTTGTTGATTGTTGATTACTATTCAAAAAAAAGTTTTGTATTTTTTGTCATTAAAACTAACTTGAAATCTACAAAACAGATCGGTATGCGATTTTCAATAGAATAAAGAGTATTTGTTAAAAAAAGGTTCAAATTTCGTGAAGGTTCAAAACCACAAGCGAACAGCTAATCAATATCTTGTATGATAGCTAAACAAATCAAGTAAAGAGAAACCAGTTTTCGAGAAAGGGGAAATCATCATTGATTCTCCCGCACTGTGTGAGGCGAGAGGGAGTGTCAGACTCTGAGTGAATAAAAACCAACCGGTTCCTTCTCCTGCTCCAGGCCTAGGCCACGGTACATTTGGAAAAAAACGTTATCCCACAATAATATTTTCTCTTGTGTCGTGGGTGCGTTTACAAACATTCAATTTCACATACACATGACACCCAGACCCGGAACAACAATTTTTAAGTCACACAAAGATTTTTTCCGTGCGGGAATCCAACTCACGACACGTTGCGCGATAGTCAGTTGCCCAGGCACCGCGCCAGCCGATTATTGCGCTGGACCCGCTACCCGGAACTTTGTAAATCATACTTCAATACAAAGTAGGCTGACAATAAACTCCCTTGACCTTTGATCTCGTTACTATTTCTACAATAGCGATATGATTCATAATATCTAATGACAATAGAGGTGAACGACCTTATGACGTCATTTCTATAAATGTACCATGGCTAGAGAGAGAAAAAACAGTTATGATTAGTTTTAAACAGATTGTTATTTGAGGTACATAGATAGAGCTGGCTAAATGTGGTACATTCTGCTGCGTTTTTTTTTCTATTAGCAAAGCTTATGGACCATTTTATAGTAAGCCTTTTTCCTATTTTGTGGGCCCTTACCTAAATAGAATAACTACCTCGTAACACTAGAAACATCACTAAGAAGTAAGGGCTCTTGCCTCTTAGTGATGTTTGAGCTAAGCTTCTACACAAATGGGTCGGCTCGACCGGAGTGATACCACGACCTCATAGAAAACCGGCGTAAAACAACCTTGCCCCAACCAATCCTTACCCTCGACCACTTAGGAAACTGTTAAAAGCGCCTCTCTTTAGAGGAATTGATCAAAATTATTGTTTTATTAAGATTTAAGATTACCCCGGTCATTAATACATACATACAAACAATTGAACAAATTGTATATGTCTTAAGGTTTCTTGATCATTAATAATGAAAACCGAAAAGGTAGATTTAACGCAGACTTACCTTAAATATGACAAAAACAACATTGCAAGAAAGTGTCTAAACATTTAGTTCTCCATTTAGCTGGCCAGAAGACATCGCAACATTTGAAAATCCCACTTACAAACATCTGGTCACAGATACACGTATAAGGCAAAATAATTACCAAATATAAAATATTCAAAACATGTAAGTTAACACAACGAAACATTCGACAAAGAATTATACACTACATTACTTACTGTTGTTAAACTCTAAGCACTTATCCACACAACAATAACGACCGAAAAACTCACACCAAACCACAATTTTAACAGTCCAGACATTGATACTATCTTTTCGAATTCTTCTATTCAAATAATCGAGTACAATATCGGTATCAAAGTGCACGTTACATACAGGAGGACATTTTAATAAAAACTTCGCCAATTGAGTTCTCCACTCACAAACAATCACTACGATCACGTGGCTACATGGCTAGATAAAATATTGTATATGTATACTACTATATAGATAGTCATACATATATATGTTCATGTCTACGTACTTAATATAAGTGTTATGATGATCATGATCAATTTTGGCTGATTGCAGTGTATGTTTTCTTTTATATGTAAGTGTGGGAGAGCTATGCTTTCGGCACGAAATGGGTCGGCTCGACCGGAGTGATACCGCGGCCTCACAAAAAACCGGTGTGAAACAACCACAGTTATGTTTCGCCGTGTGAGCGAGGTTCCCGGAGACCCTATACTTCCCCATCCCTAATCACTAAATCTCCAAATCCTAATACCCAAAACGTTGACAGCGCACTCAAAACTTCTCTGTAGTTGAGGGTGTCCATGGGCAGCGCTGGTTGCTTACCATCAGGTAATCCGTAAACCCGTTTGCCGTCCTATCATATAAAAAACACACTGTCTGTCATGTCCAAAACTCTCAAATACTTTCAAGAGACTAACTGACAAGTTAGGGATCCTTATAGCTCGGCTCACTTGAAATGCCCTATCTTTTACTACCCTATCCGCGACGGTTTACAGCAAATAAACCTGATAAGACATGTACTAAAATCTAGACAAGTTGCGACTCCATTTTGTTTTATTAAATGTCTCCCTCTGTGATGATATTGAAGAATTCAGCTGTTGGTATTGAGTTGAAATTTCATTGAGTATTTTTTGGGAATGGCAATGCAGAATTTGTAATTTATTATAATAACTACCTTCCGCCCGCGGCTTCGACGGCGTGTTATGCTGCTAAAAAGCCTATGCCCTATTCCGGACTGTATCCTATGCCTGTGCTAATTTTCATCCAAATCCCTCCAGCCGTTTTGGCGTGATTGAGTAACAAACATCCATACATCCAAACATCTTAACTTTCACATTTTTAACATTAGTAAGACTAGCAACCCGCCCCGACTTTGCACGGTTGTAAACTAAATTCCTTTCCTATTTAATGAATGTTATTTATACCTACATCATATAACCCGTCTTCTGCAATCACTATATCTATTACAAAACCGAATCAAAATCCAATATTTACAATTATGATATAGTGATGGATATAGGGACAGAGAAAGCGATTTCGTTTTATAGTAAGTCGTTGTACGTTCATACATATAACACGAGCCTGAACTGAGTGCCACTGAGCCACTAGATCCCATTTTATTTTATAAAGACTTTAATGGCGTAGTTATCAATAAAAAAACGGTTAACGAAAATTTAGCACAAGACAATGGAAGAAAAACAGCAGCAACTGAGAACTGTATTATCAGCTTTAACTTACGTCAAGAAACTTCCCTTTTTATTTTCAAATGCCTGAAGCTTAAAACTCGAGAATTAATATGGATATCAGTTCATTCCCAGTACTACTACTACTTTCTCTCTCAGACTGTAAGGAGCTAGGTATAAGGATACAGAAAGTTCAAGGAATACGATTCTCCAGATGGAACTTCATCGGAGAACAAATTAGGTTGGACCCCAGTAGGGTCAGATAGTAAAATCATTTAGATAATCGCGCGCTCCTGCACAGATAACCTCTCGTCCTACTATTGATTGTGGGTGATTTACTATTTGTACCTCTGAGTATTAATACGACGAGCTTTAACATCGTAAGACGATAGGCAAGCCGTTTCAAAACATCCCTATCTTTGTGAATTTGTATATAGGTATTATGTAAGTGAACATAGAATGAAACACGCCTGGATTGTTAGAATATAATAAATCATCAATCTTTTTTTGGGTGATAGGATGGCAAAAATAGCTGACATATTATCTAATGATAATTAATCGGCACGGCCCTTGGATACCCGCTTCACCAGAGGAGTTTTGGATTTGGAGATTTAGGTGCGCCGTGGCATCATTTCGGTCGAGCCGACGCAGACTCTCGTACTCTTAAACTTATCTATTGTTTATCTAGATTTTTAAACAGGGTTGTTGGGTAAAACTGCGGTCAACTCAAGGCCTCTCATGGTCCTGGGCAAGTTTTAAAGAGTCCATCACCTGTAAATTCAAGCAAGCATTGCTTAACACAGATTAAATATACAACAAAAAGTTACACAAGCACCTACTTATACGGACCCATATTCTGTGTTCCACAACTTGATGAAATAAAACTAAGTTAATTTATCAAATAGCAGAGGTGGAATTTATTATTATACTTTAGGAGATGTGTGTTGCCTGAAGGCGTTAGCAGAACAGAATGAGGGCGAGATGCAAACATCTCAGTGAAAGTTAGTTTGCCACTCAAGGCACTTATAATAGTGGCGTGAGAATAATGAGTAGATTGGTTATAGCTCGTCTGATTCCTACTTCAAGCTACAAAATGGTCAGTAAATCAAGATATGGTGCGTTATTGTTTTCTATTGAATCACATCAATTAGTTTTGTGTGTTATCTTAATGCTTTATTTCGAATGTGGAGCCCCGCCAGGCGGGCAGGCGGAGATAACATTTCTATTAATGTGCGGGTGCTGAAGATGTTTTGTAAGAAAGTTTCCTTTGAATGAAACGTATTTAACGTTAAAATCGTTGTAATTTGAGACACAATAGAAAGACAAGCCGTAGTACAGTACCTAGTAGTTTAAGTCTGGGAGAACATTCAGTCGGCACGAATAGGCGAAGTGATACCACGGCCTCACAGAAAACCGGCGTGAAACAACACTTACATTGTGTTTCTCTGTAAATGAGGATACCGGAGGCCCAATTCACAATTAGCGCTAAGAATTCAAATAATAACGGGATTACACAAGTTTGAAAGGCTCGGTAACTTCTCCATTTAGAAAAAATAATACGTCTCAACTCCGGGTAGTGAAACATAAGTAAATTAAAAGCCTGTTACTAATAATTAGACCACAATAGAAGCAAAACAAAAGCTAGAACTACAAGAAGAAATGCTTAAACAACAAACAAAACTAGCAATCGCTGCAAACATTCGTAACCTAATCTCAACTATATA